GCCCTCCCTTTGCACGAGCCAGGCGCTTCCGTGCTACCACAGAAGCATACCCCAGCACATCCGCTTCTCTGGCATCCTAACTATGGCGTCAAGTACATCCTCTCCGATATTCAATTGGGGACCATTACTTAAACATGACCTACCAGAGCATTCGGACCAAGAGCTTATCAACAGGATCAACATAGTGCCCGAAACCATGATTGATCGGCAAAGTGCTGGTTACGTTACCAGCCGAAAGTGTCACCACGACATCACGAAACCGTGCTTCTTGTCTCAAAGGTGGATGTACCAAGTAGTAAGTAAGGGCAATGCCGTTGTTCCAAATGAATCCAAAAGGTCATCTTCGATACCGCCGAGTGGTACGCCGAACGGTATGGATCAAGCAACCTGAACAAGCAACAAGTGCCGTCCGGCGCCCATCAAGACTACGTGATTTCTTCCGACTCATCCGATGCACAGGATGAGCGCGTAACCGTCTCGTCGGAAGAGGAGGGAACAGTCAAGTCGATTCTTTTCCTGAGCTGGGAAACGGCTGATGAGTCTCATCCGGAGGACGACTCCGAAGCCTGTGGTCTCGGGTCGTCCCCAATATCGGCTCAGGAATCGTCGCCGGCGTCAGTGCCATTTGACGGTTGCGTCGCCGAGACCTTGTGGGAAGCTGGAAGGCGGCATTGCAAAGATGATGGCAGGCCTGCGTGCGGTCGCTCAGCAGGGCGCCGAAGAAGCAGCCGAGTCGAGAGCACCCGCAGCGAAGCAGCCCAGGGAGGCCATCAGCTTGTCAGTCATGTCACCACGCGTGAGGCAGACCGAGACGAAGGGCATGCAGAAAGAGGGCCAGATGTTTAATCCGGGGGGTGAGGGGCCCGAGGGCTATGCTTCCGGGCCACCTCCCCCGCCAGTTAGTCTGCAGGGCATTCTGCGCTTTGGGCGCCAGAGTTTTCAGTTCGACAGGGCTCCCCGCCCCTCGCGCTCGCTCCTCGCGGGCCAGGGGCGCGGGGCCCGACTGACGTAGTGCGTCGAGGGCCCCGTCGGGCGCACCGTCGTCCTCGGCTCACATGGCGCGCTCAAGCGCATCGAGCTCTCGCAGCAGTGGGGCATGCGCCAACAGAGGCCCCGGGCGCGCGGCGTTTCCTGAATGTTGCCCGGGGAATCGAGGACAGTGTAAGAAGGCAGTATGTCGTGAATGTTCGGTGGTCAGCTGTCGCCCGTGCGACGTGATGCTTCTCCGCCCGGACTGGCTTCCCCTTCTCTCGCATATTGCGCGGCGCTGCGTGGCCTCGAATCGGGGCTTGCCGAAGAAGGAGGCGAGAGGCAATCGCCGCAGCGAGTGACTGGGGGCAGGCGCAAATGAGCGATCGTATCATGATAACCGAAGTTCAACAGCGCACAGCTGCTCGCGTCCAGGCAGAGAGCGACCGCGTCGCAATGATTCGCGCCGTGGAGCAGGCCGAGGAAAGGCAGCGGGCCGTCGACGCAAAGCTGGCGATGCGAGCATCGGCAGAGCCCCGTGGGCTGGCCAGCAGGGTCGAGGCCCCGGCAGCCGCCGAGAAGCGTGCTCAAGACCTCGAACAGAGCGTCGCAGAAGAGGCCAAGCGGGTCGTCCGGGGGGCTGGGGGGGCCCGGCAGGTGACGGTGACCCGAGTCGCTGAAGAGCTTATGGCGGCTGAGGCGCGCGACGTTCCCCTCGGGGCGGAGGCGCGGGCAGCGGTTCGACGGGCTCGAGCAGATTGACCGACCGCCGACAATTTTGTGAAGAGGGCGTCGGACGGTTGAGTGCGTGGGCGATGAGGCAGGCGCTGGGCGAATTGGGGGGCGCTCGCCAGCGGGCGCAGGCCGCGGCCCAAGCGGCGAGCGCGAATTGTTTTCGCGCTGCCGCGAGGTTCGCGACGCACTGGAGAGTGCGCGGCGCATCGAGCAGCAAGCATTCGACGTGGTGGCCTTCGGCCCGGGGTGCCGAGATCACAGCGACACGGTCCATCGATAACTCTTGTTTTGTGGTGCGGACAGGGGCGCGGGCGCCGATCTCCATCTCGTATGACGAGTGGGCGAAGATCATGAGCGAGATGCATGCCTTCCACCCGATAACATTTCTAGAAAGGAGGAGGTGCCCGTGCATGTTTATTAGTCTCACCATGTGCGATCACAGTAGCGACGAGTATGGCAAAGGGTTGCAGTCATGCGAGTTGGTTGCTGGGGCAAATCAGCAGGCGCATGCAGACGTGCCGAGGCTTCGTGGCCTTTCCGTGGGAGGCGCGTGCGGCGGTGGTTGGGGTGGCGGTGGGGGCCGGGGCGGGGGAGGCAAAGACGAAGTGGGCCTGGCCTCCCGCGCGCGAGCGACGCGCCCTTGCAGGCGCCCCAAGAGGGGCGCTCCGCAGCCCCGGACGGCAGCGACCCCGGCGAGGGAAGGGGCCAGGCGAGGGGGGCATGGGTCATTGCGTCGACGGCCCACGCGAGTTGCCTAGTCCGAGCGAGCCAGAAGCCCCAGAGACAACGCGCGGAATCCTGATCCGGGGTGGGAACTCGCGGGGGCAGCGCGCAGCGCTGCGCCCCTAGTCGGGGCCGGACGGGCGCAGCCTGCGTCGGCCCCGCCTGGGCCGGCGCCCGCGACGCAGTCGCCGGGCGCCAGCCCCCCTCGCCACGGGTGCCCAGGGGCGCTGGCCTTCCCCGACAGTCTTTTCCAATGGTGCATATTTGACCGGCCAGGCGCCTCCAGCACTGTCTCCTTTCGTTGCCCTTGTCCTTTCCCTCGCTGCCCTTCGCCTCGCTGTCGTCGGCCCCGCCAGGGGCGGCGTTCCTCTTGATGTTCTGAGCTGCGGCGGAGATCTGGTCGGCGTTGCGCTCGCAGGCTCAGGGGGCTGACTTCCCTGTTTTCTAAAGATGCGCCCCCACTTGTCACGAGACATATTGTCTTTGGCAACGGCCTTCCGATGCTGTCGCGGGCGCTTATCTTGCGGGGGTGGGCAGGAGCCTCTACTTTCCTGAACTCGCAGCGCAGACTGCTATTCGAGGAATTTCTGCTGGATGCGCGGCCGTAGGATCTCTGGCGGTCGCCGCCTCCATTTGCCTTGCCATCCCCGTAGTCTCGGCTCCTGCCGCGATCCTCGATCTTTACCACTCCCTTGATTACCGACCCTGGCGCCCGACTGCTGCGATGCATCCAGGCTGGCGGTGTCGCGACGCTCCCGCGCGAAGCCCTCGACCTGTTGAGGAGTGGCGAGCCTGGGCGAACCGCTCTTCACTGGGACGGGGGTGCCAAACGGCGCCGCAGCTCAAGGCAGCGCTGAGGGGCGCGCATCGATCCATGCGCGCTCCACCCAGCCTTTCTCTTTTCTGCTTGGGTGACCGCTACGACAATGAATCAGGGCTCCGATTCGTCGAACCCCTGGCGGTGGCCCCAGGAAATCGAAGTTTATATTGATATCAAAATGCGAATGGCCCAACGCATATCAGTTACCCGTGGCATTCAAACGCGACGCACCCAGAATGGTGCTCTTCTTTGTTGGTTTGGTGGGCTTCAAACGCGAGCGACCCAGATCAGTGCGTGCGGGCAGGGGCGTTGCCTTTCGATTTTGGGGGTGCCCTTGGGCAGAGTTCCTTGGCCTTTGGCGGTGTCGTTGAGCAGCGGTCGCCTGCCGCGGCCGTGGCCGAATGTTGCAGAAGTTGAGGGCACTCGCTCCCCGCGACTTTTGCTGGGGCGCGCAAACAGGTCAGGGGCAGGTAACCGTATATTGTCCTGTCGTGATGCAGTGTGGTTGTCGTGTCAAGTGGCGCCAGAGCGCCGCTGCGGCTGGGCTTGGGTATTGGGCCACCGCGAACGAGGGACCATGCAATTGCCGCATCTGCCGGATGAGCGTTCCGAGGAACACGACAGACCGACGACATGGCGGATATTGGGCTTCTTCCGAGGTTTCGTGCGAAGGTTGTTTGGCGGCAACATATTAACAGATGCGCGACAAGAAAAATGGAGACATCTGGCGACATATTACAGCAAGCAGTCGTCGAGCTTGGCGGCCCAGGCACGGACGTGGAAGTGGATCGCATGGAGGGCCTCCTGAGCTGGGATGGGGTCGCGCGCTTGACGTGTGCTTCGGCGCGTTTGGTGAGGCAGCTTTCGGTCAGATGCCAAGGTGGACGTCGCCGCTGACGAGCACACTATTGCGAAGGCCACTGGCCCAGCGCCGCCGACCCTGAACGGGGACGAAGACGGCGACGACGTCGACGTTCGCGAGCTCTCTTGGGGGCCCTTGTGGGCCCTGTTGGCCTCGGGACTCCCATCCAGGACTCCCTCCCCCGGAGCGGCTCCTGGCGGTTCCCCCGTGCACCCCCCCTCTTCGGCGGGGAAGGGGTCAAGGGGAAGGGGCTTCCCTTCGACCCGAATGGTGCCCCCCGTCTTGCGACGCTGAGGCTCTGATGGGCCGTCTTGTTCTGAGGGAGGGGGGGCTCCACGATCCCTTGGACCCCCCCGCAGGACACCCCCGGTCACCCCCTCCCCCCGGGACCTTGCCCTAGACCTTTGCCCGGGCCCTCCCCCCCAGGACCCTCCCCAGGACCCCCCCCCTAGCGGGCAGGGTGTCAATAAGAACGGAGTCGTTTCGACTACGATTTTGTTCGATTTCCGTTTGTCCGGGTCACTTGAGGAGGGCCCAGGGACAAGGGGGGGGGAGCGTGGCGATGGTGACGACGATGACTCAAACGGACAAACGTCTCACACACGCCACTGGTCGGCGACCATCAACAAAATTGCGCTGGAAAAATCACATGTTCGACCACCCCCTCACTTCTGTCCCACCCATCTGCCTGAGATCTCCAGGCGCCCCCACAGGCTTCCGGAAACCTCGTGAGGGCTTAAAAGGCTCTTGACGTCCAAGACCTTGGAGGAAGAGAAGGCATCCTGCCTCCCCTCCCTCCCTCCCTCCCTCTCTACCTACACGCTTTGCGCCGCGAGGCCATCAGTGACACCAGGAAGACCATGGACGAGGCGCAGGCGCGTCCCGCCGCCCGCTCTGGAAACTAACGGCTGCTGCTGGTGGTGCTGGTGGTGGTAATGATGATACTGATGATGCTGATGCTGATAATAATGATGGCGAGAACGTGAGGATGAGGAAGAGGAGGCGGAGGAGGAGGAGGAACAGGAAGAGGAAAAGGCGGAGGAGGAGGAGGAAAAGGAGGAAGAGAAGGAGGAGGAGCAGGATAATGAAGAGGGGGAGAGGAGGATGAAGTTGAGGAGAAGAAGGGCGAGTAGGGGGAGGAGGAGTTGAGCACAAGGTCGAATGGCCGACTCACCAGCATGAAGCCGCAGATCAGCGATGCTCCTCGGATCTCTCCTCACCAACTCCGGCGGCGACCGCGAATGCTTGCTGGTGTCGATGCTGTTGCCGTTGTTATTTCGTCTGGCTGCCTGGTGCTGCTGTCGCTGTGGCTCTCGATGCCGCGTAGCTGCTGCAACGCATTGTTGCCGCCCGTGCCGGTCTCGCCACCACCGTCGTTGCCATTGTTGCGACCGCTGCGGTCGCCGTTGCTGTTCCTGGTCGCCGCTGTGTGTTATTGTTTAGGCCAATGCCGTTCCACCAACTCCCCGAAGTTCCTGAGGAGGAGGAAGAGGAGGAAGAGGAGGAGGAGGAGGAGGAGGAGGAGGAGGAGGAGGAGGAGGAGGAGGAGGAGGAGCAGCTCGGCCGAGCCAGCGCGGCGACGGCGGCGACGGCGACGCCCACGACGGAGCGCGGGCGGAGCCCGTGCGGCGCCCGCTCGGCCGCAGGAGACACGCGACGCGGAGCTGAAGCAGTACGAGGACGTCGTCGTCGTCGTCGTCGTCGTCGTCGTCGTCGTCGTCGTCGTCGGCAGGGGTGCCGAGGCGGGGCAAGGGCCGGCCAGTCAGGGCGGCCTGCCGGGGTGAAGGCGGGCACGTCCCTCTGCAGGGGTTGCACTCAAAAGTAGCCAGAAGAAGAGTCCATGTTTGAATCTGTTTGACATTTGTTGTCGTTTTTTGTGACGTTCATGGATAATTTTGACAACTCTTGACAACTTTTGAGTATGCTTCGATCATTTTTGACAATTTTTGAATGTTTGTTTGGCTCTCTTCCATTTTTCTTTCAAGATTGGCTTGCAGGGGGACGTGCCCGACCTGCTGCCAGGGAGGCTGCCAGAGCTGATCCCGGCAGCCCGCCCGCCGTCTCGCCGGGGGCGTCGCGGCAAAGTGCCGTGGCGGGGGCGGCCCTCCTCGAGTGCAGGCCTCCCGGCGGCTCCTCTCGAGCTCCAAGACATCAGCGTCATCCCGACGTATTTATGCTATTATATGTTTGGTTCGGGCGCGCGCCTCCAAGGAGGACATATAATACTAGTATGTCTCTGTACGTCCCAAAACACGGGATTCCGGCGCGATCTCAGGTAGGGGAGCGCTTCCTGAGTGGCATTGCTCGGCATTGTTCTGCTCTGCGTGGCTTGGCATTGCTTGGCGCTGCTCGGCGTTGCTGGGGATTGCTCGGCATGGCTCGGCGTGGCCAGGCGCTGCTTGGCGTGGCTTGGCTTTGCTTGGCGTTGCTTGGCGTGGTTCGACATTACCAGGGAACACGACCAAGCAAACCGAGGAATTTGCAGGGAAGGAACATGACCACACAACCCGAGGAAGGCCTCTTCAAAAGCGTGACAGAAGCAAGGCCAAGCAAACCGAGGACGGTCTCTTCAAACGCAGGCAAGAAACAGCAGTAAGGAAAAGACTTCGCAACGTGAGGAAGGCCTCATCCAAACACGGTGCGGAGACAAGACCAAGCAATCCGAGGAGTGACAGGGCGTCGCAGGCCTCGCACCCATCGGCTCTTCTAAATGAGTATGCATTCTTTTGGGGCAAGCCTGTTTGGGGAAAAGCTGGCCTGGCAAGACTGTTTCCGGGGAGTGGTCGTGGCGCTGTCAGAGGTGATCCTGGCCCGAGGTGGCACCCAGCTTCTTGTCATGGCCTGACAACTCGCACCCATACCTGTGCGACCTCCAGATTTCTCGGGGTGGAGTTCGGAGGGGGGCTACGGGTGTGCGTTGTCGGATGGGGGTCCCCGCTCGAATGGGAGCCCCCTGGGGGTCCGCCAGCTCGCACCCATATCTATAGCGCCTTCATCGCCTTGCCCTTCCTCAAACCAGGGGTGGACGGAAACGGTGTTTTGGCGATTCCGTGGGCCGTTTTCGTTTCGATTTTTCGTTTTGCAGCAAAGGCAGATTGAAGACAAAAACGAGTGAGAACGACAACAACACGAAAACAACACTGCTGGGAATATTCAAAAATACGCAGAAAATAGTCAGGGAACGATTTTTTGACGCAAACCGTCTAAAATCCGCCTGTAGGGGGACATGCCCGACCTAACACTTGATGGCGTTCGCGGGGAGCGCCGTTAGGACGGACTTAGCCAGTTTGGCCTGCCTCCTGACGACTTTGACGAAGAGCTCGTGCGCTTCCCCTTTTTTGTGGTCGAGCTCTCGTTGCCGCCTTTGCCGAGCCGTGCAAGGATCGTCTCGCCCGCGTTCGTGTCGAGCGGCTTCTCTGCACGAGTTCTCCTGCACGTCGTAGCGCTCCTTTGTCTTCATGGTCTCTTCCGCCTCGGGGGGTTCCTCAAGGTTGTGTTTTTGTGTCTTTCCGTTGGTATCCTGTGCTTTCTTAGCCTTCGAAGCTCATCCCCTTCTTCCGCTTTCATGGCCTCCTCGTTCCCGTGGCCTTCTTAAGCTACTCTATCTTCTTGACCTCCTCTGGCTTCGAGGCTCCACAATATTGTAGGTCTCCCCTTTGTTTCCAGCTTCGTCGACTCTGGTGGCCATGTCGTCGGCGGCGGCGGTGACGTTGAAGGAGAGGGGGCGATGGCTGGCAACACCATGTAGTTACCCGGGACGAAGTCTCTGGTGCCTCATCGGGCGCCTCGAGACGGGGGTCATTGCAAACGGGGGTCAGCCAGAGCGCCCGATCTTGCAGAATCCTGCAGGGCCCGGGTCGCATTGACCCGGGTTTGGGAGCAGGATTCTGCAGGATCTTGTTAGCGGCGCGGTGGAAGAGGCGACGGTCACGGCCTTAGACACGTCGTCGACCGCCCAGCGCGCCTGACTAAGCGCTTGTGTCGGGTGTTGCGCGTTCCGCTGTAGAACTTCGCAATGTAAGCGGTGTCTGCGGATGGCGTGTGCCTGCAGAGAGCCGTTGATGTTGTGGTACGCGTCTTTCTCTAGTATGCGGGTTCGTGCAGCAAGCATGTTGTACTTCGAGGGCATGCAGTGCTGGAGGCGGCAGCTGGTCACGTAGCCAACCGGCGAGCAATCGGGCACCTCCGAATTGAGAAACTCAAGCTTCCTCAGCGCGGCTCCGCCATGCGCAAAGGGCTGCGGAGAGAGCGGGGAACCATGGCTTGAGCCAACATGGCTGCGGTCTTCCTCCTCTTCCTCCTCTTCCTCCTCTTCCTCCTCTTCCTCCTCCATCCTTGTGTGCCTCCTCTTGCCTCTCCTCCCTCCTTGTTCCTCTGTCTCGCCCCCCCTTCGCCTCTACTTCCTTCTCCTCTCGTCACTCCCCCCCCCCTTCTCCTCCCCCACCTCCCGTCTCCTCTGCTCCTCCTCCCTCCCCCCTTCCCCCTCGTCCCCTTCGTCCCCCCTCGCCCCCCCTCGTCCTCCCTCGCTCCCCTCGTCTCACCTCCCCTTCTCCTCCTCCCCTCCTCCTCCTCCCCTCCTCCTCCTCCTCCTCCCTCCTCCTCCTTCGCCCTGCTCGACCTCCCCCCTCCCGGGACTCGCCCGTGAGCGGGGCGCCCAGAAGCCGCTCTCGCACCGCCAGGCGGCCCACGACCACGACACCCATCACGATGACGACCACGGCGGCGGCGACGACGGCGACGACGACGTTGACGACGCTGACGACGACGACGAAGATGACGACGACGACACGTCGACCCGCTGGGAGGCCGACGACGCCGACCTCAGGGCGGCCCTGGATGCCCTCAGGGGCGCGATCAAGGAGCTGAAGGCTGCCAAAGGGGAGGGTGGACTGGCCCTAATTCGTTTTCCTTGTTTACAACTCCTTGTCGCACCACCGGACGTGTCGTTAGGGCGGGCCTGGTGTTTCGCCAGAGTCTTCCGCACAATTTTATCACCTCGACGCTAGAAGTTTCCAATAATGACACGGGTGCATCTTCACAAAGAAAAAAGAAAGGGGGCTCTTGCTGTGACGATAGATTCATTCGTCTGCAACACTTCCATCCGTTACGTGGATGGAGGGCGTGTGGTTTTAACACTTTGGCTCTCGCCTAAGCGCCGCCCACATTCGTTGAAAAGTCTGGCATCTTTCACACGGAAGGAGGGCGCTTCGTTTTCAAAGTGGAACTCCTGATTCATCACGTCTTCGAATTATAGTCACCGAAGTTCAAAGATGTGGCGCCGTCACAAGGGCCGCTCCTTTCTAGCATGGGGTTTAGCTGGTTACTTCTTCTCATACTCTGACGTTTAACAAACCTGCAACCGTTCAGCTGTTACAAGACGGAGCTGTCGCTGCACATTTTTTTCCCTACCTAGGCTCTGCCTAGAAGGGTTCTTACCCTGTATGCTTAAGGGGCCAGGCAGTGCTCCCCGCCCCGGGCGGTTCCCCCAGGATCCGCCCCGCGGTTCCCCCAGTTGCGTCCCCTTAGCTTAGCGTTGTTTTTCTCATCTTAGCTCAGCTTAGCTTAGCTTATCCCATCTTAGCTTAGCTTAGCTTAACTTTGCCTAGCTTAGCCTAGCCTAGCTTAGCTTAGCTTAGCTTAGCTTATCTCATCTTAGCTTAGCTTGGCTTAGCTTGGCTTGGCTTGGCTTGGCTTGGCTTAGCTTAGCTTAGCTTAGCCTAGCCTAGCTTAGCTTAGCTTAGCTTAGCATAGCTTAGCTTACCTTAGCTTAACTTAGCGCAACGCAACATAGCGCAGCGCAGCATTAGCACAACATATCATAGCATAGCATCGCCAATCATAGCATAGCATAACATAGCATAGCTCACCATAGCATGGCATCGCATATCAAATTATATCATAGCATAGCGCAGCATAGCATAGCATAGCATAGCATAGCATAGCATAGCATTGCTTAGCATAGCACAGCGCAGCATAGCATAGCATAGCACAGCACAGCATAGCACAGCACAGCACAGCATAGCATATCATAGCATATGTAGATGTAGGTGGGAGTCGCGCTGTTGATGTTGATGTAAATGTAGATGCAGGTGCAGATGTAAATGTAGCTGTCGATGTAGATGTAGATGCTGCTTTCCTAAATGCTCCAACTCCTAGGTAGGGTCGCACTGGGATAATTGAAGTGTACGACCTTACCCGTAATATTTTTTATGGCTGGAAGGATGGCGATAAGAGGCTGGGATTTATACATGACCACCGCTTCGAGGATCAATTTTCGGGGACCTCGGCAGGCGGTGGATATGGACATATTCGTGTCCCGGGGGGCCAACATATATTCATATCCGCCGCCCGCTGGGGCACCAGGCCGTCGCTTCCCACGCGGTGGATATGGATAAACTCCTGCTTCGCAGGAGGGTGGGTTCTTCACGAACGGAGTCTCGCCCACGGGGCGTTCGTCTCTCAAAGGGGGGCGCCTCTCGCAGTGAAAGAGGATCAGGAGCCTCGCGAGGAGCGGACTCGGGACGGGAGGGTGCATTGCAGCATCGTTCGTGCATCTTGCGTTTCCTCTAGTCCTCCTCCTCCTCCTCCTCCTCCTCCTCCTCTTCCTTCTCCCCCTTCCCCTCCCCTCCTCCTCCTCCTCCTCCTCCTCCTCCTCTCCTCCCTCCTCCTCCTCCTCCTCCTCCTCCTCCTCCTCCTCCTCCTCCTCCTCCCCCCCTTCTATTGCGGGGTGGGGGGTGGGGGGTGGGGGGGGGCGGGGGAGGTTGCAGGATTCAGGAGACCGGGCGGATCTGGCCTTCATGGAGGCCCCTGGCAGCCGCTGGAGGCCCTCAGCAGGGGACCTCTGCAAGTCTCTGGCGACCTCCTCCAGAGGAAGGAGGGAGGCTTTCCCCAACCTTTCTTCGGTCGGGGCCTCTCCCTCCTCCTCCACCCTCTTTTCTTCCCTAGCATCCACTGACCGAGCGCATTCAGAAAGTAACAGTATCAGCAAATGGGGGAAAAAGGGGGCAGGAGGCGGTTGTGCAGGGAGATGAGGGGAGGGGAACTTTGGGTGAAAGGTGGATGATGATTATGATGCTGCTGCTGAATCTGCTGATGATGCAGATGCTGAACATGATGATGCTGATGATGAGGATGATGAGGTTGATGATGCTGCTGACGATGCTGATGATGGTGATGATGATACTGACGCTGAGGATGATGCCGACGACGATACTGCTGATGCTGATGATGTTGATGATGATGCTGATGATGAGGATGCTTGTGATGATGATGATGATGATGATGATGATGATGATGATGATGATGAAGCTAATGCTGCTGATGATGATGATGCAGCTGATGATGTTGATGAGGATGATGATACTGATGCTGATGAGGATGATGACGGTGATGATGACGATGATGATGATGAAGTCACAGCTGCTGGTAATGATGCTGCTTCTGATGATGACGAGGATGATGATGATGCTGATGATGATGATGCTGATGCTGATAGTGATGATGCTGATGATGATTGTGGTGCTGATGCTGATGATGATGAGAATGATAATGATGATGAGGATGATGAGGGTGATGATGATGATTGATTGATTGATTGATTGATTTATTGATTGCTTAATTGATGATGGTGATAACGACGATGATGAGGATGCCGATGATGGTGATGGCGACGACGATGATGATGCTAATGGTGATGATAATGATGCTGATGCTGATGCTGATGACGACGATGATGCTGATTGTGCTGATGATGCTGATGATGATGATGACGATGTTGATGATGGTGAGCATGACGATGATGCTGATGCTGATGATGACGATGATGATGACGATGATGATGCTCATGATGATGCTGATGATGATGCTGATTATGATGATGATGTCGATGCTGATGCTGCTGATGGTGATGATGAGGATGATGATGAGGATGAGGATGAGGATGTGGTTGATGATGATGATGATGATGATGATGATGATGATGATGATGATGATGATGATGATGATGATGATGATGATGATGATGATGATGATGATGATGATGATGATGATGATGATGATGATGATGATGATGATGATGATGATGATGATGATGATGCTGCTGCTGCTGAGGATGATGATGATGATGCTGCTGATGTGTATTTGGATGCTGATGATGATTATGATGCTGTCGCTGCTGCTGCTGCTGATGATGATGAGGATGATGATGATGATACTGACGATGATGATTATGATGCTGATGCTGCTGCTGATGATGATGACGATGCTGCTGCTGCTGATGCTGATGCTGATGCTGATGCTGATGCTGATGCTGCTGCTGCTGCTGCTGATGATGATGATGATGATGATGATGCTGCTGATGCTGATGATGATGATGATGATGATGATGATGACGATGATGATGATGATGATGATGATGATGATGATGATGATGATGCTGATGATGATGATGATGATGATGATGATGATGATGATGATGATGATGATGATTCTGATTGGAAGCCATCTTGGAGCATCCGAGGCCCTCCTTGGAGCCATCTTGGGCGAATAAGGACCCCCTGACACCTCGCGGACCCCCCCTCCCGCACCAAACCTCCGGGAAGGGGAGGGGGAACGCACCCTTGTCTGGCGGGAAGACGGTTTTGGCTTAGAAGAGGGAACCATACTTAGACCACCTACGCTCAGAGGGCTGGTAGGATTACTAGCACGCCTCCGCCGGTATGGAGTACAGCAGGCGATGCGGGGCACCAGTTGCTATTTCGAGTCCTGCTCGGCGGATAGGAGGCGTAGTGCCACCCCCCCTGTCTTCCCGCACAACGCGTAATCATTCATGCCCTTTACCCTGCTAATAAAAGCTGAAGAGACAGCGGGGAACAGCTGAACATGCGACTTTGGCTTCTTGCGCATCGGCCGCATAAGACAGGATGAGGATGAGGATGAGGAGAAGGAGGAGGAGGAGGAGGAGGAGGAGGAGGAGGAGGAGGGCGGGCAGTAGCGGAACTCGGGGTGGAGGCCGCGAAGACCTTTGTCAATTCCGAGTACGAGGGCTTCCTGCAGACGAAGCGCCAGGCGGCCCCGATTGTTGCCGTCGTTGTCGTCGTCGTGCTCATGCTTGCCATCGCAGTCGGAATCTTCGTCGTGCTCGTTCTCTCCGCCGTCGTGCTCGTGCTCGTGCTCGTGCTAGTGCTAGTGCTAGGTCTCGTCGTCGTCGTCGTCGTCGTGTTCGTGCTCGTGCTCGTGCTGGTGCTCGTGCTCTTTCTCGCGCTCGTGCTCGTGCTCGTGCTCGTGCTCATCGTCGTCGTCGTCGTCGTTGTCGTCGTTGTCGTCGTGTTCGTGATCGTGTTCTTCACCGCCGTCGTCGCCGCCAGAGTCACGCTTCTCCGTCGGGGCTCCGAGCGGCACGTCAGGTGATCGGTTTCTGCCGCCCTCCCTGCCCTCGACCTGCTGCGCGGCGCGTTGAGAGGAGGAGGAGGAGGAGGAGGAGGAGGAGGAGGAGGAGTAGGAGGGGGAGGAGGAAGAGGAAGAGGAGGAGGAGGAGGAGGCGGCCGAGGAATATTATTAATAATAAGAATAACAATAATAAAATTAATAGTATGAATATTATTTTTAATATTAATAGTGATAATATTAATAATAATAAGCATACTAATCCTATTATTTTTGTTAGTAATGCTATTAAGAATAATATGACTACTAATGGTAATACCACTACTAATACTGATAATAATAATCATGCCAATAACTTTGATACGAAGAGCAGTCATAATATACTATGAATAATACTAGTAATAAAAGTAAGACTAAGAATAGTAGGAGGAGGAGGAGGAGAAGGAGGTGGCGGAGAGGGAGGAGGAGGAGGACGAGGAGGAGGAAGAGGAGGAGGAGGAGGACGAGGAGGAGGGGGAGGAGGATGACGAAGAAGAACAATAAAAATAAGAATAAGACAAGGAGGAGGATAATGTAGCTCAGGAGCGGGAGGGGGGGGAGGGAGGAGCTGGGGTCGGAGCGGAATGTGGCGGGGGGGGGAAGGATGAGGAGGACGGGTTCTAAGAGCGGGAGGCTGAGGAGGTGGAGGAGTCGGAGAAGACGGGGAGGGGGGTGAGGACGAGGAGGAAGGGTCGGAGTCGGAATCGGAGCAGGAGGAGTCGGACCCAGGGTTGGCATGACAAATTATCCCTCCAACGGGGGTGCGTAGGTTCATATAACAAGTGGGCGGGAGTCGAGACGTTTCGCATGCACATGTTGAGCGGCACGCGGGCAACGAAGATCGAGCAGTATAACAGGTGGTGGTGTCGTTTCTGACAAGACTGCAGTGCGCTTTCTCTTGGAAGGGGCCGCTCGCGGGCCTCAGGGCCATCAGACAACGACCTGGGACGAAAGGTTGCCCCCCCTGGAGGGGGCCGAGACCTCCAGGGGCCCGGGCGGAAAGGATCGCCACCCCTGCTGCCAGCAGCCTCGCCGCCACAGCCGCCGCCGCTGCCTCTGCTGCTGCCGCCCGCGCGAGCGCTCGCACCAGCGCCCGGCCCCGCGCGGTCGCCGGCACCGCCGCCGGTCTCGTCGCCGCCGCCGCTGCCGCTTTCGCCGCCTCCGCCACGAGCAGCGGTGGCACCGCCGCCGTGCCTGCGGCCACAGCCGCTGTTGCCGCCGCTGCCGCCGCTGCCGCCCGCGGCTTGGCTGCCTCGCATGCTGGCGGCCGCGCTCGTGCGGCCGCGGTCGGCGGTGCCGCACGATGATGATGATGATGATGATGATGATGATGATGATGATGATGATGATGATGATGATGATGATGATGATGATGATGATGATGATGATGATGATGATCATGATGATAATGATGATGATTCTGATGATGATGATGCTGATGATGATGGTGCTGATGATGATGATAGCTGATGATGATGGTGCTCATGATGATGATGGTGATGATGGTGATGATGGTACTGATGATGATGACGATGATGATGACGATGACGGTGATCATGATGATGATGCTGATGCTGATGATGGTGATGATGATTATGACGATGTTGATGATGATGATTCTGATGATGCTGATGATGCTGCTGATGATGATGCTGATGATGATGATGCTGTTGAATATGATGATGACGGTGATGATGATGACGGTGATGATTATGATGATATTGATGATGCTGATGATGGTGATGATGATGATGCTGATGCCGATGATGACGGTGACGATGACGATGATGATTCTGATGATTATGATGATGATGATGATGATGATGATGATGATGGTGGTGGTGGTGATGGTGAAGCTGATGGTAATGGTGATGATGCTGCTAATGATGATGATGATGATTATGATGATGCTGCTGATGATGATGCTGATGATGATGCTGATTCTGATGATGATGCTGATGATGATGATGCTAATGATGATGATGATGCTGATGATGATGATGATGATGATTTTGATGATGCGGCTAATGATGATGCTAATGCTGATGATCAGGATGATGATGATTATGATGATGACGATGCTGACGATGACGATCATGATGATGATGATGCTGATGATGCTGATGATTCTGATTCTGATTATGATGATCATGATGATACTGATGCTGATGCCGATGATGATGCTGATCATAATGATGATGCTGATGATGATGATGATTCTGATGATGATGCTGATGATGATGATGATGGTGGTGGTGATGGTGAAGCTGATGGTGATGGTGATGGAACTGATGATGATGCTGATGCTGCTTCTGATGATGTTGATGATGCTGGTGATGATAATGATGTTAGTGCTGATGATGACGATGATCATGACGATGATGATGTTGATGATGCTGATGACGATGCTGCTAAAAATGATGCTGATGATGACGATGACGATGCTGATGGTAATGATGATGCTGATGATGATGATGCTGATGATGATGATGATGATGATACTGATGATGTTGATGATGCTGACGATGATGATGCTGATGCTGACGATGACGATGCTGATTATAATGATGATAATGATGATAATGATAATGATGATGATGATGATGATGATGATGATGATGATGGTGATTATGGTGGTGGTTATGCTGATGGTAATGGTGATAAAACTGATGATGATGCGGATGATGATGATGCTGCTAATGATGATGCTGATGATGATGCTGATGCTGCTTCTGAGGATGACCATGATGGAACTGATGGTGATGATGTTGCTAATGATGATGGTGATGCTGATGATCATGATGATGGTGATGATGGTGATGATGATGATGATGATGATGATGATGATGATGATGATGACGATGACGGTGATGATGATGCTGACGATGAGGCCGAGGATGAGGATTAGGATGCTCATGTTGATGATGATGATGCTGATGATGTTGATGACGACGACGGTGATGATGCTGCTGCTGATGATGATGATGATGGTCATGATGATACTGATGCTGATGCTGATGATGCTGATGCTGATGCCGATGCTGATGCCGATGATGATGATGATGATGATGATGATGATGATGATGATGATGATGGTGATGGAACTGACGGTGATGATGCTGCTAATGATGATGGTGGTACTGATGATCATGATGATGATGATGATGACGATGATGATGATGATGATGATGATGATGATGATGATGATGATGATGGTGATGATGATGATGATGACGATGCTGATGATGGTGATGATGATGATGATGCTGATGATGCTGCTGCTGCTGCTGATGATGATGATGATGATGATGATGATGATGATGATGATGACGATGCTGCTGATGCTGCTGATGCTGCTGAGGCTGCTGGTGCTGATGCTCTTGCTGAGGAGGAGGCGCGGGAGGAGGAGAATGAGGAGGAGGAGGAGGAGGAGGAGGAGGAGGAGGAGGAGGAGGAGGAGGAGGAGGAGGAGGAGAGGAGGGGGAGGAGAGGAGAGGAGGGGGGGGGGGGGGGATGAGGAAGCGGACGAGGAGGAGGAGGAGGAGGATGAGGACGAGGACGAGGATGAGGACGAGGACGAAGATGATGACGAGGGCGAGGACGAGGACGAGAACGGGGATGAGAATACTGAGGTTGGTGATGCTGCGGAAGAGGATGAGGATGAAGATGATGATTATGATGATGATGATGATGCTGATGATGATAATGAGGGTGATATTGATGCTGATGATGATGACGATGACGATGCTGATGATAATGATGCTGATGATGCTGCTGATGCTGCTGATGATGATAATGATGCTGATGCTGATGACGCCGATGCTGATGATGCTGCTGCTGATGATGATGGTGGTGATTCAGCTGATCATGCTGCTGCTGCTGCTGATGATGATGATGATGCTGATGCTGCTGATGATGCTGATGCTGCTGATGATGGAACTGATGATGATGACGATGATGATGATGCTGATGATGATGCTGTAGATGATGATGATGCTGATGGTGATGATGCTGATGATGATGATGATGATGATAATGATGATGATGCTGATGATGATGATGATGATGGTGATGCTAATGATGATGCTGAGGTTGACGATGATGATGATGCTGATGATGGAACTGGTGATGATGATGATGGTGCTGATGACGGTGACGATGCTGATGATGATGCTGATGATGATGGCGGTGATGATGATGATGATGATGATGATGATGATGATGCTGACGATGAGGACGAGGATGAGGATGATGATGATGATGATGCTGTTGTTGATGATGATGATGTCGATGATGCTGATGACGACGACGATGACGATGACGCTGATGATGCTGCCGATGATGATGCGGACGAGGATGATGAAGACGAACATCAGGACGATGATGAGGACGATGCTAACGATTCTGCTGATGATGAGGTTGATGATGCTGGTGATGGCGATGATCATGATGGTGATGACGACGACGATGCTGATGATACTGATGATGCTGATGCTGCTGATGGTGATGATGATGCTGATGCTGCTGATGATATTGGAGGACATGATGCTGACGATGATGATGATGATGATGATGATGTTTAGGATGCTGATGATGAAGACCACGCTGATCATGATGACCTTTCTGATGATGCTGATGATGAT